CTCTCTCTCTCTCTCTCTCTCTCTCTCTCTCTCTCTCTCTCTCTCTCTCTCTCTCTCTCTCTCTATCTATCTATCTATCTATCCATCCATCCATCCATCCTCTATCATCCGTCTGTCTGTCTGTCCGTCTGTCCGTCCGTCTGTGGCAAACTCCCTGTGAGATTGAGGAAGACATATACAGGTAGGAAATGTTCCCTGTATTTTTCACTGGGCTGCTAATTGCTGGCAGGGGGGAAGCCAAAGAACCGGAAGAGAGCCAGCCCCTGGCAGAGGGCGGGAGACTGAGCAGCCGTGCCAGCCCAGAGGGAAGAGAAGGGAAGAGCAGGAAGCAAGGCACGGGAATTTTCTAGCCACTCCAGAGGGAGGGAGGGAGGGAGGGAAGGAAGGAAGGAAGGAAGGAAGGAAGGAAGGAAGGCCTAGAATTTAGAATGAATGGATGAATGGTGGAAGGGATGGATGGATGGATGGATGGATGGATGGATGGAGGAAGGAAAGAAGGAAGGAAGGAAGGAAGAAAGAAAGAAAGAAAGAAAGAAAGAAAGAAAGAAAGAAAGAAAGAAAGAAAGAAAGAAAGAAAGAAAGAAAGAAAGGATCTTCCAGGTGACAGCATATCTCTAAACTTGCACTTCTGGATCTGGCTGGCCACCGATTCCTAGGACTTTGCACCCCTCTTTTCAACCTCAAGGCTTTGGGGTTTGTCTCCATTTGGGATGGGACCGGGCCCTCTCGCTACCTTCTACCCGCCTTCTACAGTATCCTTCTCATTCATTGATGGTCCAGCAAACCCCAGCGAGGACATATTGTGCAACGTGCGAAGCCAACCTTTCCCCCAGTCGCTGGGCTGTCGAGGCCAATGATGTCTCCAAAATTCCCGGGTGCAGCTGGGCGCCCATCTGGGTGTTGGGGGGAGAGGAATGCTAATCCCGCCTCAGTTATACACAAGTCACTTTGGCCAAGCGAGCGAGCAGTGGCTGGGAAGGAAGGAGGGAAAGCCATGGGTGACCAGCTGGGTAGACCTGGTGGAGAAGCACCAAGCTTGGCAGGTGGCTTCCCCAAAGAACGTGGCCGCCTTGTTTTTTTTTTGCCAAAGGGAAACCGAGGCAAGCAGCTCTTCCAGGCGCTGCACGAACACAAACCGGACGCTGAGCGTTTCGGACAGCGGGGGAGGCCTGGTCTTCCTGCCCTCTGCCCTCTGGGGAGGCCCCGCAGCCCAGATGTGTCCGCTCAGGAGGCCAGGCTAACTGGAGCCCACTGGGCGGGTCACAACCTTTACAGAAATGGTGGCTTGCATGTCAGACCTCGTGGAGTTGACGGGGACCCGGCTGGAGGGGGGGGGGAGGTGGTGGCCCGTGAAGGAAAGGCCTCCATGGGAAGCCGGTGAGGGACGCCTCTGGAGCGCTCACGCTGATCTACGGGTGGGACTCGCTCGGTGAAGAAAATCGGAATGTCTACGGAGCTTCTCCGTCCTCCAGTCCAGATCACAGTTGGCCCAAAGGTGCTTTTTTTCAGGAGGCCACGGGACTTCCTTTGTTTTTCTTTGAAGATGTTTCGCTTCTCATCCAAGGAGATTCTTCAGCTCTGACGGGAGGGTGGGGAAGGGAAGGATTTAAACTCCTTGCAGAAAAACTATAATAATAATAATAATAATAATAATAATAATAATAATAATAATAATAATAATAATAATAATAATAATAATAATGATAAAGTTGGAAGGGACCTTGGAGGTCATCTAGTCCAACCTACTGCTCAGGCAGGAAACCCTATATCATTTCAGACAAATGGCTGTCCAGTCTCTTCTTAAAAACTTCCAGTGTTGGAGAAGGGAAGGAGGGAGGGAAGGAAGGAAGGAAGGAAGGAAGGAAGGAAGGAAGGAAGGAAGGAAAGAAAAAAAGAATAACAGAATAACAGACTCAGAAGGGACCTCGGAGATCATCTAGTCCAACCTCCTGCTCAGGCAGGAAACCCTATACTATTTCGGACAAATGGCTGTCCAGTCTCTTCTTAAAAACTTCCAGTGTTGGAGAAGGGAAGGAGGGAGGGAAGGAAGGAAGGAAGGAAGGAAGGAAGGAAGGAAGAAAAAAAAAGAATAACAGAATAACAGACTCAGAAGGGACCTCGGAGATCATCTAGTCCAACCCCCTGCTCAGGCAGGAAACCCTATAGTACCATTTTGGACAAATGGCTGTCCAGTCTCTTCTTAAAAACTTCCAGTGTTGGAGGCGGGTTGTTCCACTGGTTAATTGTCCTCACCGTCAGGAAGTTTCTCCTTAGTTCCAGGTTGCTTCTCTCCTTGATGAGTTTCCATCCGTTGCTTCTTCTCCTGCCTTCGGGGGCTTTGGAAAGCACACTGAGTCTCTCTCCACCGAATCAAAGGAAAGAACCCACCAGGGGTTGCAGGTGCCAAAGATCAAACCATGGTTTCTGTTTTTTTAAATTAGGAATTACGTGGCACGGTTTAAACCTCAGTTACTTCAATAGAGGAATCCTGTAAATACCCGCAATGTACAGGTTTCTTTTCCCAGCTCCGAACTCACAGCTTGTTCTTTTCCATCACGAGCCTCTCTGCCAACCCATAATTTCCTTTCTCCGCAGCCTACCGGACGGTGTGTGGGGTGAACGGACCCCTGGTGGTCCTGGACAACGTGAAGGTAGGCGAGGGCCGATTTCCCCCCCCCCCGTTCCCTCTGTGCAATATCGGCCCCAAATTGATGTCGCTAAGCGAGACGTCGGTGAAGGGAGTTTAGCTCCGTTTTACGACCGGCCGGGGAGCCCTCTTCACAACGCCAAGTGCGACATTTGTGCTCTTTCATCCCCGCTTGTGTAGACGCAACCCCCCGGCATCTTTTGAACTGGGGGCCACCCCTCTCTCATTGGGGAGCCTTTTTTGCCTTGGGTGGGATCTTCTAGCGTGCCTCACCAACCCTGGGTGGCAGGAAGGGTCCCAGGCTGGGATCTGGGCGGCTCCGGTTGGCCGTTTGGGGGTCTGCAGGGACCCCCCACGGTCACTGGGCCACCATCCTCCGTGGTCACTCTGGCCAAAGCGGCCGAAGAGCCACCTCTGGCATCTGCTCCCCTGTTGTGGGGGGGAAACTCCGGGGAAAAAACATTCAGTGGCCCCCCTCCTTCCCTCCCCCCTCTCTTTCTCTCCTTCTCCTTCCCTCCATCGCTCCCTCTCTCGTTCTCTTCCTTCCTCTCTCTCGTTCCTTTTCTCTCCTTCCTTCCTTCCCTCCCTCTCTTCTCTCCTTGTCTCTCTCTTTCCATCTCTCCCTGCCTCTCCCTCCTTCTCTTCTGTCTCTTCCTCCCTCTCCCTCCCACCCTCTCCCCCTTTCCTCTCCCTCCCTGTCTCTTTCTCTCTCTCCTTCCTTCTTTCTCTCCCTTTCCCTTTTCTCCTCCCTCCCTCTCTCTGTCTCTTTTCTCTCTTCCCCTCCCCTTCGGCCCACTCTCTCCACCTCCCCCTCTCGCTCCCTCCCTCCCTCTCATTTTCCTTCTCTCCATCACTCCCTCCCTCTCCCTCTCCCTCTCTCCCTTCCGCCTTCTCTTTCTTTCCTTTTTCTCTCCTTCCTTCCTTCCTTCCTTCCTTCCCTCCCTCTCCATCTCCCCCTCTCCCTGTCTTTCTCTTTCTCTCTTTCTCCCTCTCTCCCTTTCCCTCCCTCCCTCCTTCTCTTCTCTCTCTAAGAAGAATAGAATAGAGCCAGAAGGGACCTTGGAGGTCTTCTAGTCCAGCCCCCTGCTCAAGCAGGAGAACCTATAGTACCGTCTCAGACAAGTGACTGTCCAGTCCCTTCCTCTCTTCCTCCCTGCCTGTACTATGTAGTCACAGGGGCAATCCTGGCAGGGGATCTGGTAGATTACAGTAGATGCATGAGATCTATTATCTATCCATCCATCCATCCATCCACATCTAGTTGTACATCTCTCTCTCTCTCTCTCTCTCTCTCTCTCTCTCTCTCTCTCTCTCTCTCTCTCTCTCTCTCTCT